GTTTTGGTCACCATGGTGGAAAAAAGATGTTGAGACTCTAGAAAGAGTACAGAGAAGAGCAACAAAGATGATCAGGGAACTGGAGTTTAAAACATATAAGGAATGGTTGATGGAATTGGGAATGTCTAGTCTAATGAAGAGAAGGAAGAGGGGTGATATGATAGCAGTGTTCCAATATCTCAGGGGTTGCCACAAGAAGAGGGAGTCAAGCTATTCTCCAAAGCACCTGAAGGCAGGCCAAGAAGCAATGGATGGAAACTAACTAAAGAGAGAAGCAACCTAGAACTAAGGAGAAATTTTCTGACAGTTAGAACAATTAATCAGTGGAACAACCTGCCTCCAGAAGCTGTGAATGCTCCAACACTGGAAGTTTTTAAGAGACTGGACAGCCATTTGTCTGAAATGGTATAGGGTTTCCTGCCTGAGCAGGGGGTTGGACTGAATGACCTCCAAGGTCCCTTCCAACTTATTATTGTTGTTGTTGTTTTTGTTGTTGTTGTTGTTGTTATTATTATTTATATCTCATAACCATTGGATCTCCTATATTCCTGGTTTTCTAGAATGTATCCATTCATAGGTCATATTTAAAATTATAATAATAAAAGTGTTTTCACAAAAGATAGAAATATAGTTTTTAAACAATTTAAATGTTGAGCCTTTTCTTTAAGTGAAGCTTATAAATTAGAACAAGTCTACATATTCGATGGCAGAATGCCATTCTGAGTCTGTGTTTTTATTATCTGTAGAGTTTGGCAGGTTTTTTATTTATTTTGGCAATCAAAATGCCAATATGCTTGAGACAAATTGGTCATTTAAGGTAATGGACACAGTCACCTATTTAGTAGTTTTATGCAAACAAGTCTAAAGTTGTAAGAGTCAGATTCTTTATGATGATTATTAAAAATTAGGTCTTCCTAATGCTTTTTTTTAAGGTGAAGCCAATATCTGAGTAGGCTGAAAATTAGAGACAAATTGCAAAGTTTTCTTTTAATGCACATTAATCAATCATTAAGCTGCATTTTCACTATACAATATATTTTAAATAGGCTGTTCTTTTATTCCTGGATGTACATCTCTTGGCCCAGATCTTCATGATAGCACAAAATCCTACTAAATGTTTAGAAGTAACTATTTAAATGAATAATTTCCATTGTAGAACTCAATCACTCTTTTTGGAGCTATTTGTGTAGAAAATTGGGAGAGATTCCTCAGCAGGGCAAGAACTAAAAAAACCTCAGAAAAACAGTGCTGTATTAGTTACAATACCAATTTCTGGAATAGCCTCCCTTCCTCTTGTTGGGGATCCAGATGGTGTCTTGTTTCCTGATACTTAGGATGACCATTAAAACTGAGGTATTAATAAGATTTTTGAGCATTAAAAGGGTCTTGTTTTTAATTCCCCCATCAAACAAAATATCCACAAGACTGAACTGTGAATGAGAGCACTGCCTTCATATATATTGCTGGGAGCTAGCTAAGAATGGAGTAAATCTCTCACCGTTCTGTCCACTGGATTATCTGGTAATGTGGTCTGTAGAATTCCACCTTACTTCTGTCTCTTTAGCTCTCAAACTACCCTGATCAGCTCCACTTTCAAATCTGACCACTGACTGCACAAAATACACGACTTTGATTCAGGGTACTTCAGTAGCAATAGCAATAGCACTTAGACTTCATCATGCTTCACAGCATTCTCTAAGTCAGGGGTAGGCAACCTTGGCTCTTTTATGACTCGTGGACTTCAACTCCCAGAATTCTTGAGCCAGCTATGCTGGCTCAGGAATTCTGGGAGTTGAAGTCCACGAGTCATAAAAGAGCCAAGGTTGCCTACCCCTGCTCTAAGTGGTTTACAGAATCAGATGTTGCTGCCAACAATCTGGCTCCTCATTTTACTGACCTTGAGAGGATGGAAGACTGAGTCAACCTTGAGCCAGTCGGGATCGAACTCTGGCAATGGGCAGAGTTAGCTTGCAATACTGCATTCTAACTATTGCACCACCAAGGCTCCTACCCTACACTACACACTGCCGCCACCAAATTAAAAAAAAACGACAGTTGATATACTGCTATTTTTATTTACTGTTGCTTTGGCTTTAGGCTAGTTTGTTTTCTTTAGGGTTTAGCATGTTCTGCAAACACAGATTGATTAGTTTATGATTCAGTCGACTCTGCAAACCCAGAAAATATTTTAATCCAGTATCAGATGTTGTACAAATGCAACCAATAATATGGACCTATCTCAAAGCAAAAATGAATTATCTATTTCCCCACCCTACCAGATAGGATGCTGAATTAGAGCTTACAGTATCCTTTCTGCTAATTATTATTAATGCTCTTAATTCAGCAGAAAGATTGCGGTGGATAGAATGCTTATTGCCATTGCTTTACTTGCTGCTGAATTCAATAGATGGAATGACAACAAACAGAGCAAACAGTTTTCTCTTGCATCTCTGGAAAACTTTGTGCTTGGGTCTCCATGGAGCCTATCAGTCTGGACATAATTAGAGTGGTGCCTTCCAAGTTCCCTTGTCCCATTTAATTTAGTTTTTTATTATTATTATTATTTTAGGGTCTTGTAATTAAAAAAAATTGAGAAGCTAGCAAAGTGAAGTGCCTCTTTATTTTTCCAAGAAAATTTCCGATCCTCCCAAATATTCTAGGGGCATTATTAAAAAAAAATATTTTAATTAAAAAAGAATAAAATAAAAAAAACTTGTATGCCCCTTCCCCAGTTCATAATTGTAACTCCGGATATATAACGTAAGATTAACATAAACTGATTAGAAAGAACATAGCCAATGGCAGTTCACAATCACTGTATTCTTAATTATAATAGATGAGTTGATCCAACTACCTGCCCATGCCCAATAGAAAAGCCAGACCCACAAGCTCTTACAAGAGAGTAATTGGTTAGCCAACTGAATCTAGGAGTATGGACAGATGCCATAATACTCTAATACCAGAAGACACTAATATAGAAGAGCATGTCAGATCTTGTGGGACAGGCAGAGATAATTAAACATAGACAGACTTGCAATACTTAGCCCTGAGCTTTCAAAGGCTTTATGGGCAGTAACTAGCACCTGGAATTGCATCCAGAACCCTATAGGAGCTAGTGCAGTTCATGGAGCAGTGGTATTATATGGGCTGTTATATTCTGGACCTATATTGCAGCTTCTGGATGGTCTTCAAGAAGAGCTCCACAATAGAGCACATTATAATTGTCCAGATGGCAGGAAACCAAGTTGTAATTGTGACTAGGACAACTGGCACACAAAATGAATGTGTGTAAGGACCCTCCTGGCCAGAGCTATCACCTGCTCTTACAGCAGGAGTCAAGAGTCTAAGATGACTCCCAAATTGTGCATCAATTCTGTCTGGAGAAATGCTATCTCATCCAGATTGAAAATCCTGAGATTTAAGAGGGCTCAAAATCCACAACCGTGGTTTTTTTTTTTACAATGAATAAGCTGAAGCTTATTGTTCCCCAATAAGCCTACAAGCATTAGAAAAGAATTGTGACATGATTTTGTCAGTCAGGATGGAGAATTATTGAGGTACAGGATACTGGTTATGCCTGTCAACAAATTATTTTACTCAACAAATTCATGTAGATGTTAAATAAGGAAGAAGAGAATTTTGTGGGCTATCACAAAATAGAAATATAGAGATAGATCTCTCCTCCTACCAACACTAATTGGAATTGGGCCTAGAAGGAGAATCACCAGAATACTGGGCCCTTCCCTCTCAATCTTTGTTGTCAATCCAAAAGGACACCATGATTTGTGTTATTGAAAGCTGCTGAGAGGGCCAAGAAGGTTCCATCACTCACATCCAGATCTTCCAGAGATCATCCATAAGCACAACCCACGCTATCTCGTTGATGTATCCAAATCTGCCCTTCACTCTGTCCTCCCCTCCTCCCTTTTAATATCTACACGAAGCCACTGCTAGTGGTGGTGGGTGTTTAATCAGTTAGCTTGAGGTCAGGTATCATCAATATGCTCAAATATAATTTTATGAAGAATTTTACCATATTATTACCATATGTAATAATGAATTCTGAATGGAGACTGAATGATCATCAGATTCTCTAGTGCACGGCTTTTCAACCAGTGGTACGGGTACCACCTGTGGTACATTCGCATCTGGCAGGTGGTACGCGACCATCCTAGAAAAGTGGTAGCGGGGGAGGGGAATGAGCTGAACCAGTGGCAGCACCACACAAGCCTGAGCGAGAGACGGCTGGAGCTGCAGGGCTGTCAGGGCTCAGCGGAAGCACCAGGATCAGAACTTCTTCGGGGCTGTCAGGGCTCAGCGGAAGCGCCAGGATCAGCGCCAGGCTCCAGCTGGAGCTCGGCGCTGATCCTGGCGCTTCCGCTGAGCCTAGAAGAAGCGCCGATCAGCTGGAATGTTGCAGCATCTCCAGGGTCTTGTGATTTACATTCAGATGCTTGGTAACTGATTCATATTTATGACGGTCACAGTGTCCCAGGGTCATGTGAAGTGACCAAAACCTGCTGCAACCACCCAGCAAATGGGGGGGGGAATAAAAACCAAACACCCCCTCACCCCACCCCCGCTGCCAATCCTCAACAGAAATGCTCACAACAATGAAAACCTCGGACAGGAGGAAGAGTGCTGCCGGGCAGGCAGGCAGGTGTCTTGGGGGGCACTTTTTCAGTGCCATTGTAACTTCCAATAGTCACTAAGCAAACTGTTGTAAGTTGAGGACTACCTGTACTTCATCACCTTTGTCCTTTTTGGGGGGGGGTCATCAAGTTTTTGACACCTTGCTAGGCGACTGGTGGTACTCGGATCTTGCCATATCCTAAAAGTGGTACAATGGGTGAAAAGGTTGAAAAGCCCTGATCTAGTGGATCTTACACTGAGCAGGAGGTAATATTGTATCTTTTCTAAACACTTTTCCACCTCTACGATTCTATGTTTACCACTAGATAGGTAAATTTTCTTCATTAGTACAAAAAAGAGGGCACGTGACAGATGACAATACTTATTTATTATAGAGATACTGTATACAGAAAGGTTTATGCAATACTGTAAGTTTCACTGAAAGGGTATGTCTCTCTATGGCTTTATTAGTCACTATTTTAAAAAGTAACAACAAAAACCTGGACAGTATCAGGGAACATCTCAGTCCTCAATTTAAAAAGTTGAGTTGAAATATAAGGAAACTATCGTTTCCAACAGTAATTTAATAACTGCGTCCAAAGAGAGTGTAAAACTTTGCAGGGCTCTTGTCACAGACACATCTCGCTCCATTCTGCAGCTCACAAAGTGGTTTAAAGGGGATGCAGAGACTTTTGGCTCCCATGGATGGAGCGCCAGGTTCAAGATCTTGATCTCTGAAACAGAAAGCAGGTTTTTTTGTACAATTCCCAGCTAATTTAACAGAATAACAAAATAACAGAGTTGGAAGGGACCTTGGAAGTCTTCTGGTCCAACCCCCCTACTCAGGCAGGAAACCCTACATCATTTCAGACAAATGGTTGTCAAATCTATTCTTAAAAACTTCCAGTGTTGGTGCATTCACCGCTTCTGGAGGCAGGTTGTTCCACTGGTTAATTGTTCTAATTGTCAGGAAATTTCTCCTTAGTTCTAGATTGCTTCTCTCCTTGATTAGTTTCCATCCATTGCTTCTTGTCCTGCCTTCAGGCGCTTTGGAGAATAGCTTGACTCTCTCTTCTTTATTTAATTTGGAACAACTTATATTTGTCAGATAGAAGTTGTCAGGTATGACCTAGTTCAGTGGTGGCGAACCTATGGCACGGGTGCCAGAGGCGGCACTCAGAGCCCTCACTGTGGGCACGCGTGCCATTGCCCCAGTCCTAGGCCTTCAGCTGGGTTTTATAAAACCTTTTTGCTTTAGGCCTCCACCGCCGTGTGCAAAAAAAAAAAGGTTCAATCAATCAGTCAATTTCAACTTCTCGCGGGGAAAAAAAAGATCTTGCAAAGTTGGAATTGATTGATTGAACTTTTTAGTCCCACCCAGTCTGCTGTTACCACCGCAGCCACACCCACCCAATGGGCCACACACACCCAATGGGCCACACCCACCCGGCACCCGACGATGCATAAGTGGGTTTTGGGTTGCAGTTTGGGCACTCGGTCTCTAAAAGGTTCGCCATCACTGACCTATTTAGTGCTTGCCTTACAATAGTTAAAACATCTTTAAGCAAATAAATTAATTACATTCTATTAGCCTTGAAGGGTGTGAGACTGCCCCTGAAAGTCATCTGCTGGGAGATTTCTGGGCTTCTTTGTGCAGTTTGCTGGCCACTATGAGAACAAAGTGCTGGGCTAGATGGATCAGGGGTCCAATCCAGTAGGGCACTGCTTTTGTTCACAACCACACACAGCATGTCACCATCGTTTCATACAGAGGTATTTTTGACAAGTTAATTCTTTCTATTAGTTACACATGCAAGTTTTTACAAAATTTCCTACTGGTTTTCAAACAGTAACACATACAATATATTGTAACTGAAAAACATGCATTCTAAAATCTCCTTCTCTTTTATTCATATATGTCACACATCTCCCTCTTACCTGGCAGTTGTTTTTTTGATCCAATCCTCACATTCTATTTCTCCACAGAAAGGAATCTGCACTATCTGAAATAAGAAAGCATGCATATATTTTAGAGTTCATGTAAAAAGAATTACTTTTTAAGTAAGAATTTTATTAAATTGTAATAATATCCATTGCTTTAGTGGCTCTCTATTTAGCTTTGCAATACCAAAGAGCTAAAGTAATTCAAGCTATCTTAAAAGAAATCACACTGACTCTACTTTCTTATAAATTGTCTTTGTATATTCAGTACACAGACAACTGCTAAGATTTATTCAGTGTTTTCTTTAAGTCTTGTAAGACTTTAACATACACGATTAATGAAAGCATAAAGGGACCTCTTATTACTGAAATCACATAAAACAACAAATTAAACCACAGAATTTTGGGGGGAAAAGTCTAATCTTTATAATAAAAAAACCTAAACATTGCAAAGAGACAAATATAGATATCATCCTTATTTTAACAAAACAATGGAAGATAAAAGGCAAAAATCCTGCTTTAATTTTTGATTCTATTTTCCAAACTTTGATATCCATGCTATTCTAATAACCAAATGTGATAAGGCAACATAAAGTTTATCTTTTCTATTTGACAATGAAAAGAAAAACTTATTTGCAAATATTTTCAATAATTTCTAGTATTCTGACAAACAGTGTGGTCTCTCCAATACATTATATTATAGTAAGTACTGAAGCAATTTATATATTCATTACTATCTTCAATCAGAATAGAGCTGGAAGGGACCTTGGAGGCCTTCTAGTCCAACCCCTTCCTCAAGCAGGAGACCCTATACCATTTCAGACAAGTGGCTGCCCATTCTCTTCTTAAAAAATTCCAATGATGAAGCACCCACAACTTCTGAAGGCAAGCTGTTCTACTGGTTAATTGTCCTCACTGTTAGGAAGTTTCTCCTTAATTTTTGCTTCTCTCCTTGATTAGTTTCCATCATTTCTTGTCCGGTCTTCTGATGCTTTGGAAAATAAGTTGACCCCTCTTCTTTGTGGCAGCCCCTCAAGTACTGGAATACTGCTATCATGTCCCCCACCCCACCCCGAGTCCTTCTTTTCTCTAGACTAGCCATATCCACTTTCTGCAACCGTTCTTCATATGTTTTTGTCTCCAGGCCTGTAGTCATTTTAGTTGCTCTTCTTTTTGTGTGTGTGTGGATGTAGTAGAAGGAGTAATGAAGATTGGATTTAACATATTAGCGTACTTACAGGAATTATTTAATTCAATAACACTATAAATCAACCCCGTACTGAATCAATCCATTTAATAACCAGGTTAAATCTTCACACAGAATACTTATTACAGCCAAACTAAATTAACCACGCTTGGCTCCTGATAGAAATCAACGTGAAAAAGTGTAAGCAATGCTCCAAATCTCATTCATTTAAATGATACTACATTTGATTTAATTTTTGACTGGATCCAGTTCTGTTTATGTGAGGGACAATGATACACTGAAAAATGTTATATGAATCACATAAAAATCTCCAGATTCTTTTGGATGAAACTGATTTTCTAGATCCATTTAAATCCAGTTTAAGGGTATAGAACAGAAACTCCTTTTCACTCTGTGAGATGACTTTTGCCAGAAACAGATAAGGGAAGCACAATCCTGTTTTTTTCCCTCTCATGAACTTATCAGCAGCTTTCAATAGTATTAACCTTCACAAGCTAGGAGATTTGAGATGTGGAGGCACCATACTATGTTGGTTCCACCCCAGGTTGTCTTGGAATGCCTTTAATCAACTCTGACTGATTTACCAAATGTGATCTTACCTAGACAAAGGCAGCCTTGGAACAGTTATTTATTCTCTGATAACTTTACTGGTTGAATTCATTTCACAAAGCTGCCCAGAAAATTTAGTTGGTTCAAAATAAAGTAGCTGGACTGCTTACTAGGACTGGCCAATCCGAATATATTATGGCAGTTTTTTGCTACAAATCAGGTCTATTTCTGGAGCCAATTCAAAGCATTGATTTTGATCCTTAAAGCCCTAGACAGCATAGGGCCAGGTTACCTGAAAGAGAACCTCCTCCCATATGTAACTCCTTGAACCTTAACATCATCTAATAAGGTCTTCTTCCAGGTCCCCCCACCAAAGACCTCTGCAAGAGGGAGAGGGTTTTTTGTTGTGGTATCCCATTTATGGAACTCCCTCCCCGGAGTGGCTCGGCTGGAACTTACACCGGCATAATTTTGGTGCAGATGAAGACCTTTCTATCATCCCAATCCTTTTATTTAGCTTTTAATTGCATTTTAATTTATATTGTTTGCTCTTTGAATAACTGTCTTAAAGTTGTCTGGTTTATACAGGTAGTTCTCAACTTACAACAGTCCGTTTAGTGACCAAAATTACAACAGCATTGAAAAAAGTGGCCTATGACCACTTTTCATACTTATGACTGTTGCAGCATCCCCATAATCACGTGATCCAAATTCAGACGCTTGACAACTGACTCATATTTATGACGGCTGCAGTGTCCTGAGGTCATGTGGTCACCTTTTGCAACCTTCTGCAAAATCAATGGGGGAAGCCAGATTCACTTAACAACCGGGTTACTAACTTAACAACTGCAGTGATTTACTTAACAACTGTGGCAAGACTGGTCATAAAAGGGGACAAAACTCACTTAAAAAATGTCTCAGCAACAGAAATTTTGGGCTCAATTGTGGTTGTAAGTCGAGGACTGCCTGTATAGTGTTTTTATTTTGCATTTTATTATATATGAGTTTATTTACTCTTTTTTTAATCCATATTACTGTGAACTAACCAGTTCACAATAGTTTCAGCTATTGGGATAGTTTTAAAACGTTTAATAAATTGTAGTAAATGATAAAATAAAAATATATTCAATATGACGAAGTAGTGATTCTTGGTATAAGTAGTTCTCTCAAAAAGATATTCAGTGAATGTTGTAACTTTCATCTATTTTACCAAAGTTACCAACTTATGCATGCCCTTAGTTTAGAAAACAGAGAAAAACACTAGAAGTTCTCAAATTCCATGACTGCTTATTTCTCAAAAAATGGGTATTGCAGAGTGTTTTTCTAGCCATAAAAAATTAAGGGCATTTGCTATATTTGAAATTTAACACATATTTTGTATGTAGAAAAGTTAATACAGTTACTCTTTGACATATGACCACAACTGAGCCCAAAATTTCTGTTTCTAAGTGAGACACTTGTTAAGTGAATTTTGCCCCATTTTACGACCTGCCATAGTTATTAAGTGAATCACTGCAGTTGTTAAGACAGTAGTGCGGTTGTTAAGTGAATCTGGCTTCCCCATTGATTTTACTTCTCAGAAGGCTGCAAAAGATGATCACATGACCCCAGGACACTGCAACCGTCATAAATATGAGTCAGTTGCCAAGCATCTGAGTTTTGATCACATGACCATGGGGATAGTCACGATAGTGCAACAGTTGTAAGTGTGGAAAACGATCATGGTACTTTTTTCAATGTTGTTGTAAGGGCCATTAAACCAACTGTTTTAAGTCAAGGACTGCCTGTAATCTCTAATAATTCAATTGCATTTTGTGACCAAGACTCATTCCAATTTATATAAATCTTAAACTGATACAAATAGAAATTAATTCAAACTCAAAAGTTCATAAAAGTTCTAGCCACATGCATCACTGGAAGAGAACAGAGCTAGTGGATCAAACTATCCATTCTTCCCTGTACTTCTCCAGCATTTCCTCCCAAATCTATATTATATCTAATGAATTCTAACTGAGATTGCCTTATAAATTGAAAGAACGCATACTTACATACCTACCTATCCCCCTTTATTCTAAAGGACGTTACATTTTACATGTTATGCCAAATAGGTAAGTGGTACCTTACAATAAAAGTAAACCTACTGTAAACCTACTGTAAACTTTGCTTTCTATAAACCAACAGCAATATTTTATTGCATGGAAGAGTGTTTTATTGCTGTATCATATCAGTTCCAATAACCTCTTATCATTTGACATCTTTGCATGCACTTGATGATCCTTATTTAAATCAGATAGAAATGGTTTCTTGACGTAAGTAATGTGTCCTATGAACTGAATGCATTAATTATATCATTTTAAATTATTTTACAATTATTCCCATTGAATTTATTACAGGGTCTGAACAGACATTCGACTTGCTGTTTTATTTTCTGCTGATAAAGCAAAGACAGCAAGTGTTCCGATGGTGGGGTGACAGCATTCACCTTTACAAATGTTTTGAAAAGGATGAAAGTAGTTGCTATTCCTATGTTATCTTTCTGATAACTACTTGCCATAGTTCACCTCCACTGCCACTCTGACAGAAGAGAAACATCTCCATATAATTGAGATGTCCTGTATTATGTTCTGTGTTAGCGGTCTGGTAAGGAAAAAGTTTGACAAGAACTCACTTGAAACAAAATACTCAGCTTGGCTAACTGCAGCTTTTGTATTAATTAAAGCTAATAAATAAACACGTTTCAAAATGAATAACCAAACAATCAATCTGTTGGCTTCATTGCTGCCATATACATTATTCATTCTTCCACATTTATAATTAAAAGCACTGTTTGCAATTCTTGAACTTGTTTATGTGGATCAAATGTTCCTTATTAGGGATACATAAGGCTTGTTGCCCTGGGATTGAAAGATTCTGGAAACACCAGAATGTTTAATTTCTCTCCAGACCTGCCAAACTTCCTTCTGCATAGTGATATTCCAGGGGATGTTCTGTGATTCCCAGAAGTAAATCCTCCCAACTTGAAATAATTGGAGATGTACTAAGACATGGCATTCCAAGTCCTATTTCCATCCTTAAAACACTTTTGCACCACTCCAGTTCTGATTATTTAAATAAGCAAGCTGCATTCCAGAACAGCACTGTCTGGGAAAAGCTTCGTGGTTTGAGGGAAATGAAGCATTTCAGAATTCTCCAGAATACTCTGTTCTAAGATCAAGAAAGCTTCCAGAATCCTAGCAGTTACATTTAAAAAACAACAACCATGAATGCATGTTGTACTGCATTTATGGTTTACTAGGTTTTAAGAATGCATAGGAAGGGACTCGTAGCCCCAGTGCAATGGCAAATTATTTACCTTTCCAGAATCAAGTTCTTTCTGAAACTCTTCCATGGAGTTGGCCACCACCATATGACTCTTAAGATCTTCAGCAGCTCTAAGATAAAGAAAATGTTCAGTCCAGTTACAGACAGTCTTTGATTTATGGCTGGTTACTTAATGACAGTTCAAAGTTATGACAGACTTAGGAAGGGTGCTCTATGATCAGTTGCAGCATCCTGCACCCATGCAACTGCAATTTGTTAAGTTTTTAGCCGGTGTCCAGCAAAAATCGCCCATTTGGCAAAATGGATTCATTTAATGACCACACAATTCAAAACAACCATGTGATTTGAACTTACTACCGTGTGGTTTGCTTAATGACTGATGTAAAAATGGTCAAACAAAGACCCAGTCACATGGGTGCTTTGAATTATGACCACAACAACGTATGACTGCAATTCTGCTCCCAATTGTGATTATAAGTCGAGGACAATCTGTAATGAACATATGTTGCATAAGTGTACTGAATCAGGTTGTCTAAAAACATTAAAAAGGTCAAACAATCTTTTATAATTCTCCCATATTCAAATTTTCTTGAGTATGCACCTAAGGTTAATACATTTAATTTTTTCCACATATTAAATTCACATGATAGTCCTATACAAAAGTGTAACCAAATCTCACTCAGAAGTACTTAATGCAACCAGTATAGATTACAGCTGCTAGACTGATGATTGGGTATTTTACTATATTTGTATTATATCTGTCCTAAAAGGATTAAACTGGCTGTCAGTCTGCTGTCAGGTCAGATTTAAGGTACTGTTATACAAAGCCTTGAACAACTAAGGGCTAAAATTCCTTATTTTTTAAAATTAATCAGCCTCCCAAGCATGCATGTTCTTCAGGCCAGGTCCTGCTTTCTGGACTTGGACTTGCAGATGGCTGTTTGTCTGTGACTCAGTGTATCCTCACCCAGATGGCACTTATCCAACAGTAGGATCTCCAGCTGTATGGAAAACCAAACAACATTCTACATTTTCTCTGGACTATGTAAATTTCAGAGGTGGCCTAGCTGTTTTCCACAAGTTAATCTTCTGATTAGAATTCAGATGCCCTTGTTTAGTTCTTATCTTTTATTTATTACAGTAAGCTTAGTTTATACATATCTGAAATCATGTGACAGGACTGTAGATGCTGTTTATCTTCTCCATTCTATCACACTCCCTTTTCCCCATGCCCAAGTTTAACCTGTTATAAAGGTTAAGATGGATTTCTTCCAGAACACATTTCAGCTGGTCCACTGCTTCATTTTCAGAAAAGGTCAACTTTTCTCCTGTGTCCCTTCTAACAGCCACAAACTGATGATTCTTCATATCGCGTGGCCCCACTTCAAGCCTGACTGGAACACCCTATAAAACAAAAAGTCACAGAGTGTTTTGTCCCTCCTCACATTTTCCAGATATTATTAAGCAAAACCTAAAACTAAAACACTCCTTTGGGTTATGCTGAAGCTTAGATCTATTGAAATGTAACATTTTATGTAAATTATTCTTCAATCCAACAGCCAATATTAAGGAACCTGTTCCACCAAGGGCAGATTAGAAAGCTTGGTTTATAGCAAAAAAATTTACTTTTTCCAAGACTCAGCAGCGAGGTAATAATTACTGACAGATGGAAATGTTCATCCCATAGACACTCAGGAATGGATGATTCCTCTCCAAATAGCAGATGGCAGCACGTACTCATAGATATATAATTTATCAGTATATACTGATTTTTACATTTACTTTACATTTTTACATTTATTTTCTATATATATACTTCTAATACCAAATTATATAGACGAAAAAAGCCTGTAATGAAGAATTAATCAAAAGAGAACAGAATTAAAATATTTACCTTAAGCTCCCAGTGATTGAATTTCCACCCAGGTGAATAGTTCTCTCTCAAGTCAGTTCGCACACGGATATCAGCAATGCACAATCTCTTACAATATTCATTGCACTTTGTCAGTAAAGCCTCCTTTTCTTCTTCCGAAAGGGAATTAGTGATACCACAGGGAATAATCACCACCTGAATAAGGACCCAATAGTTATAAAGCTAGACAGAGGGAAGCCTCACTAAATGAAGCTGTTATGTAGCTGCATGTATAAGGAGCAGTTCCTAAAGGAGCTGCATGATCCTGGAAAATATATGCATCTGCTTCAGGAAAGATGTCCCAGATATACAATTTTATGTTTTCCAAAGATTTGCATAGTTCTATTAAATAGTGTACTACTTTATACAGCTATAAAATGTGCAAGATGGATTTTTATTTTATAATTTTTAAGGAAGGCAACCCAAAAACTGTAGAAAATTACTCAAACTATCTGATTCAAAGGGATACAAAAAAATAAAATATATTATCAATATTTTCACTATACCATGCTATTTCTCCTATCCTTCATTAATGATATCTTTCATAATTTCTCTTTCTCAAAGAGAAAGCATTGTAAATAGATAATTTATCATTCTTAACTTTCATACTTGCAGTCTAATACATTTCTGAACAACACTTTATAATATTAGAACCTTTTAAACATTTTTTCCAATGTTAATAATTGATTCCAATTTTACTTTTTGTCTACACATATTTATTAAAGCATATAAAAACAATTAAACAAACATCAATGAAGTATTGCAATCACACTGATTTGCTGAGAAAGGCAATAGAACATCAGGAATATTTTTACATAAAACCAGAATCTCTACTTTAGCCCCTTTTTTTCTCTACTTGTCTATTCAAAACCTCAAGCCAATTTATAGAATGCAATAGCAACGCAAATAGTTGCATCTCCTTGCACTTTTCCATGCTGCCACAGCAACACAGAGATGATGGTACCACAGCTGGTACATGGCCTTCTTTGCCCCCTTGTGGTACCAGATAGAATGTTATCCCTGTAACCCTCTTTGAATACAGCTTTCCCTAGCTAAATTTAATTGCCAATTGTTGAAGGATTGAATACAAATGTAAGTGGGACTTAATTAAGAATGTTTAGGATTCCCTGAAATTTACAGGACAAATAACCACAACTGAAGTAATTAGGACTTCAGAACAAGTAGTCAGCTATGGCTTAAACCTAGTTTGTCTCCATCCCCTTTTCTACAAAATGGTAAGGGGAAAAAGGAAAAAGCCATCAAAGATGTGCATCAATGAGGATTTTTTTTTTACCTCACCTGAAAACATGCTACTCTAGGTGGCAGCACCAAACCCATGTTATCTCCATGAATCATGGTCAAAACACCAATGGTACGGGTTGTAATGCCCCAAGAATTTTGATAAGCAAATTGTTTCTCTCCTGGTATTCTGGGATCTTCAAAGACAATCTCAAACATCTTTGAAAAATTCTGTCCCAAGTGATGAGATGTTGCTCCCTAAAATACAATACAAGAAAATAAAAAGCATTCAGTAAACTTCTATGCATGAATATATGGTAAACAACAAATTTGGTACTGTACCTGGATAGCTCGTCCGCTTGCAGATATAAATGCCTCAACTGTTGTGGTGTAATCTCCACCTGCAAACTTTTCTTTTTCTGTCTTTCTTCCTTTCACAACAGGAATTGCAAGAAGTTCTTCATATATACGAGCATATAGATCGAGAATCTGCAATACCTAGGCAAGCAAAAAAGTTAGAAACTAGTTTTGTAAGTATATATACTAAAAAGGTTTTAATATTTGATAGTGTCCTATAAGCCCAAGAACGCTCAATCAGATACAAAACTAATTGTCCTGATTAAGATTCTGCCATTAACTGCAGGTTTAAATTGTATTAAACTACAGAGTCGCAATGAATACTGCAAAAGATTCTTGAAAATAAATGTTCAGTTGTTCTTGAACTTCATAGCTCAATACCTAAATTAAATGTGATTTTTGTTTAATTTTGCATTTGTCTTTTCCTACAAGATTTACATCTCCAACAGAATCATTTTAAAATATATTGATTTCTGTAAGCACCAAGAAGAGCAAGTAGCAAATTATAGCAATCAAATATATTACTGTAAACCTCACCGCATACAAAAGGAAAATACAACTAGATTCACTACTGCATTGCAGGTATTCTCAAAAGCATGAAAACAATTCATTAATTTATCTCTGTTCTGCCCCAGAAAGCATGGGTACCTGCACATGGGGCAAAAATAACGTATGTGGTATCATAATGCAAATGGTGCAACTTGCAGACCTGCATCAAACTTTAAGTATGTAATGGTGGCATTTTTGTGATCTGTGCTGCTTCTGCACATGCACAGAGAAGCTTCCTCGAGGAGATAGCTGTTTTGGGGGGGATGATGATGTTGATCATAAGTCTGTTGCTGCAATCCATTCCAATTATACTATATCTTCACCCACATAAACAAACAAGTGTATGTGCAAAATCTAAGAATGTTTGTTCTATGTGTAAAATAGCTGTGAAATATTTAGGCAAATATTTCAGAGTTATCCTTTGAAAGCCTTGAAAAATGAGCAATGATTTTTTAAAAATTATTTGGCATGTAGTACCTCTTCAGCTGCTTCTTCGTAAGTAGAGAATGCCGTGTGTCCTTCTTGCCACAGGAATTCACGAGTACGCAAAAAGGGCTGTGGATGCTTGAACTCCCAGCGCTTCAAGCAATTTAATAAAAATAAAAATAAGTCTTTGTTCAAATCATAATCTTCATCAATACATTCACTTTTAAAGACACCTTTTGGGCGTGACTCAGCACTATTATTTTTGATGTGAAGTAGTGATTTCAGAAATTTAGGGATCTATAGCTTCACTCACATACTGTGAAAAACCAATTTAAATGGGAATGATCTGAATCACTGGAACAATATATTATGTTCATTTATCATTACCCTCAGCCATGTATTACTTCCCTCCTGTTAGACTAGTGGTCTATACAGGTAGTCCTCAACTTACAATAATTCATTTAGTGACCCTTCAAAGTTACAACAGCACTGAAAAAAGTGATTTATGACCAGTTTTCACATTTACGACCATTGCAGCATTCCTGTGGACACGTGATCAAAATTTGTGTGCTTGGTAACTGGCATATATTTATGAGATACACTGTCCTGGGCTCATGTAATCACCATTTGCAATTTTCCCAGCCAGCTTCCGACATGAAAAGTCAATGGGGGAAGCCAGATTTGCTTATTGACTGCATGATTCACTTAACAACTAAAGTGATTAAGATGATTAAGGGCCTGGAGACAAAACCATATGAAGAACGGTTGCAAGAACTGGGTATGGCCAGTCTAGAGAAAAGAAGGACTAGGGGTGACATGATATCAGTATTCCAGTATTTGACGGGTCCCCACAAAGCAGAGGGGATCAGCTTATTTTCCAAAGCACCAGAATCCAAGACAAGAAACAATGGATGAAAACTAATCAAAGAGAGAAGCAACTTGGAATTAAGGAGAAACTTCCTAACAGTGAGGACAATTAACCAGTGGAACAGCTTGCCTTCAGAAGTTGTAGCTGCTTCATCACTGGAGATTTTTAAGAAAAGACTGAACAACCACCTATCTGAACTGGTATAGGGTCTCCTGCTTGAGCAGGGGTTGGACTAGAAGTCCTCCAAGGCCCCTTTCAGCTGTATTCAGATTGATTGATTTGCTTAACAGCTGTGGCAAAAAAGACGCAAAATGGGGCAAAAGTCACTTAACAACTGCCTTGCTTAGCAACAGAAATTTTCTGGCTCAACTGTGATCAACTGTATAGGGATGTCTCTCAAGAAAATTTCAAAACTATAGTGGATCAGAATGGAGCAGCCAGTTTCCATTTGGGGATTCCCACCAGGAATACAGTATATGAAACCTGCTGTGAGTTTCTGTAGATATTTGAGTTAAATCCAAACTGATCAAACTGATAGGTAAAATTTCTACACTGTTGTTGCCCACTTGAGGAACAGCTCCTGCCCTCTGTTGCGAGCCAAAAGCTTTGAGTGCCCTTTAAGGATTTAATGTTGGTGCCATCATGGAGGGATGCCTGTTTGGAAATGAAACTCTTTATGAAACTCTTTTATTCAAGATGTTTCCTCTATGGCTGGTTTTAAGACCTTAAACATTGACTTCTATAGTTTTTCTTCATTAAAATTACATTAACACTGATGCCCAGATAGTTAATGACAGAAGTTACAATTTTTGTGGCTTATGTACTGTATATCTGCTGTTCATGAATAATATAATGCATGATATTATTAGAACATTATTTTTCCTGCCTCCTATCTTTTCCCATTCTCTTCTCCTGTTTACCTACAACTTTCCCCCAGTTAACCCTTCCTAAGGGCATGGGGAACAAGATAGTCAACTTGGCTGACTCTAAAGACAGCCATGACAGAAAAAATGCCCAGTTAGGTCCAAATGAGCTATCTATAGATGTTGTGTCCCTTAAGTCAAAAGGGTGTGACCAAACAGGCCAGCTTTGGACATATGTGCCATATATAGCCCAACATTGGCATATATGCAAATAAAATGGGGCTGGATCAGTTAGGCCAGTTTTATGTGGAATTGTTCAGGTGAGCCATGTCTACCAGCCCAGGTCCAACAAGGCTAGGCTGGCTGGGTTCCAACAAAGCTCTGGGAGGACTCATTTAGGCTTTATGGGCTAGGGGTAGATGAACTGGTAATGGCAACAAATGCATGTTTTGGCAAGGCTGGGCTATCCGGTTTCTTGGAAGAAGTCAAGCTAGATAGTTTGACTGCACTGCTCCGGCGCACTTGGAGAAGCAGATTATTACCATACAGTAATGAGAGGCAAGAGCAACAATTACTGGTTAACTAGCAAATAATAAAATGCACTCTGTAAAAACCTGTACTTACTACAACATTGCACCACTGATTGAGCTTGATGGGAAGATCTCTGTGGGACTGAATCCATTTTGCATATGAAGGATACATAACTACAAATCAAAAACATGGAACATATTATTTTTTGAAAGAGTGCAACGTAATCTGTTGTTTATTTTGAAATTAAGTTGATTTTCAAGATATCAGTTTAGACCAAGGGTCTGCTCCCTCAGTGCCTGTCCATCAAATAAGATCTAGTAGAGGTGCCCTCCTAAGCTTGCTGCATTTGCCATGTGACATTCCAAAGGAGGACCTTGCTAATACAACTCCCCAGTTGTAAAAAATTTTTCCTATTTAAATACAGTTGGTGTTAAGCCTTGTAAGTTTAGGGATTAGTTTAACACATCTCTATATACTCAGGCATTTGGTTAAATTATGTTGCTGTGCTTGTGATCTAGTTTAGTATTTATGGTTTTTACACCTTATTTGTATATTGTCACCCACTTTGTAGAATTTTTAAAAGCAGGAAAATGGGCAATATAAAGTTATAATCCAAAGATAAATATTATATTTTAATAGATTTATTGATTTGGATTTAGTCTCAAATACATCTAGTTAAAAACCAATCCATATTTCCCATCTCCTTTTTCTTTGAAATAGTATGCTTCTGAGCAACACTCTAATGCTAGCTCTTGGTCTGAATCAAAGATAATTCCGTTCTTGTTTCAAAAGCCACTGTCATTAGTTTGCAGTAACACCACATTAAGGGAAGATTTAGTGTTTTTTCTACTGCATTTTACACCATTCATTGTTACCTGTTTCACTAGTAGGACGTATAGCAATTGGTTCTGCCAGCTCTGTTTTGCCAGACTTTGTAACCCAGGCAACCTAAAAACCACAGAATGTTTTGTTTTTTACAAACGTTTTGTTTATATACAGAAATATATACACACAAAGTCTTGTTAACAATATGGAAAGTACAATTTAATTAATATTGCTATAAAAAGATCTATCTTCCTATACTATTGTTTTTATACTGATTAACTGAGAACCTAGATATACAAGCATTCAAAGACACACAATTCAATACCCAGTCCAAGAATCAGCTCCATTTTTGCTGGTCACCAAGTTTTATTTGGGGCTAGTCTTTTGAAATCTTTGCAGCACATTCAGAGCAAAGGTAAAATTAATATAATATTTAAATTTACCTCTGGGGCAAAATCAGCAATGTGTTTCTTCTCTTTTTCCAATGCAGCTTGAGATACAAACATGGGAAAGTAGCAGTTTTCCACTCCAAGTTTCTTTATTTCACTATCAAAAAAGTCCTTGATAGCTTCCCATACTGAAAAAGCCCATGGACGGAGAACGTAGCAGCCACTCACGTCATAGTATTCAATCATCTCTGATTTTGTAATAACCTTTATTTTAAAAAAAATGCTTTGGTCATGGATAATGTTGCCAAATACTCAAAAGAATAAATATTCAAAAAATAGTGCAATGAAATAAGTAAGAAATATTAAAGTGAAAAAAGACAGACAGAAGTACCCACAGATAGAGGGGTAAAACAATTTTAATACAGACTGCAGATGTTTTCTGTAAAATGCCAAGTCACATGGAATTGTAGTGGAGTATAAATAATATACAGGTAATACATACATTTATTTAGGTTATGAATACAACTGAATCAATATTAGAATTAAATACTGTATAGCCCACTGATTTCAAGGAAATTGTGTGTTAGGTTGAAATTACTTTTATCAGAAATATACTAACCAAATTCCCTATAAAAACTAACTATATTAAAAAAAATCCCTATCCCTGGTAGCATTAGGTGTGGCAGATGTGTTGTAAGTACCAGCTAGAGACCTTCATTCAGTGGGTCACAAGAGACATGCCTTCTCTGCTGTGAAATCTGCCATCCCCTTAAGGAACATTCTTCTTCCCCTAAATTAGAATAGCTCCATCCCTTTTAATATTTCAGAAGTCCTTCAAGACCTGATTATGTAATCAGGCCTACAACTCCCAGGGAATTAGAGATACGTTCAGATGGCTCCATTGCTAGGTGGTCATTCTTATCTCCCCTTTGCCTAGGGTTGGTATATTTGTTTTTATACTTTCCATTTTTAATAGGGATTTTATATTTTATATTTATTATTCAATTGTTGTATGCCACCCAGGGTTGTGTTTCATGAAATGGGTTGTTATAAATAAACAAAATAATTTTGCATTCACTTCCATTTCAGTATTGTAGCCTTTTTCATATTGGGTTTTCTTTCACGTTCTTTTTATTTTGAGCAGTAATTCACAGAAATTAATGATTTTCTATTACTTCAGTGATGAACTCTGGATCTGACCTAATAGATTTAATTGTTAAAATATATTGAGATTTTGAGTTACCTTTGGTATTTTAAGAATATAATTTACATAATACCAATTACTAAGTTGTTATAAGCAAACATTTTGGGGAATATATATATCCATTTGAGATATACTTGCCTGAGAATACCATTCAGCTAAATTTTCTTCCTTCTTAGCTTCTAGACCCAATCTGCAGCAAAGGGAAAGTAAATTAGTACATTTTGGTCAATAATTGTTGAATTAATAAAGCAACAGTTTACTTGTTTTAATCTTTTACCTCAAAAAATTAAATTGCATATGCAGTACATAATCCAGAAACAGAAAATAAAATGTTAATGTTTACTTTTTATTACATCCATATTAAAAAAGAAAACGCCTCATTTCTGTTACTATTTGTTCTGGGGGGGAAAGTCTCTTTGCCAGGTTCCCTCTTTCAGTTGTGAAATTCTTTCAAGCATCATAATTATGTCTTTATTACTTTCTCTTCTTTCATCTTTGTTATCAAAGTTGATATTATATCACATTTTACACAGGACCAAGCAAATAGCTGGTACTGAATAAATTTTAAACAGAGAAAACAGTTAGAATTGCTCAATTACAATTGAAGGACAGAAAACAATCCTTGCTATATTATGTTATCTATGAAAAGCATTACCACATGCATGTCATCTCTGTATACATGGTAAAATCTTGATTTTTATAGGCTAACAGAGCTGTTGGTACTAAATTGTATCAAATTTTGTAAGCAACATATAATTATGCAAATGATATAAATGGCCTGGACAGCTTTAGAAGCAACACATTAGACTTTATTATTATTATTTGTTGTTGTTATTTATTGGTGAAGCCTGAATTAAAACTGTGTCATTTATATCCAAAGTATGCTGACTCAAAAAAAAAAATCAATTCAATCCAAAAGTTTAAAATTGAAGTCCACACAGATTAAAACTACAAAACAGCTGTAAAATCAAGCTACTCTGTATAGTTATTTGAAAATTAGCTTTTCTGTTTAACACAATGCTTGTATTATATCTTAACACTTTTACCTTGTTTGTTTCTTAGGTCCCTGACCATCTCCTGGTCCATCAGAAGACAGATTGTAATTACTTCCTTGGTCTTTCTGCATTCCTTTCTTCTGTCCCTCATTCTGTTTTTGTTGCTTATTTTGCTTTTCAGATTTGTTCTCCTTCTCCTTCTTCTTCTTGTCTTTATCTTCTGCACCAGTTGTAGAAATTGGCTTGTAGTCTACTCCTGTTAACAACTTGTACTGAGCTTTTAACTGAAGTAGTTTTTGTACTGCAGTATCAACTTTATCCTTTGGGAAGGGAACATTCCCATAGAATTATAGGCAATAAAAGAGAAACCCAAAAGACAATTAGTTGCATCAAATATGTAATATATTATTATAATTGATAAAGTATAGAACAAAAGCGTGAATAAAGGAGATGCAGTGAACTTAAAGAGACATAGATTTTTCTGGGTTCTTAGAAAAGCATCATTATTTCATTTTTACTACAGAAAGTTGAACCACTGAGTGAACAGAAGGCATGAAAATCTTTGCCCATTCTTAAATTCCTATCTCAAACAAAAATATAAAAGATCTTTATTAAAAAATATTTTTTGCTTACAGAGTTATAAATACAATTTTGGTACTCTGTAGGCAGACAGTAAGCATTATTCATTGTTAGAACTTGCACCCAACCAGCTATGGAGTAAGATGGATGCAGCCCTCTTGTTAGATGTGTTTTTTGTGAATATTGTTGTTATCCAAAGAGTCTCTGGTTGCTTTATTTTATTTCATGCATTTTATATGTTGCTATTTCTGTTTAAATTTTGTGACCATCTCTTGCCGGTGACATCCACCCGACCCACTATAGCGGGGAGGCAAGGAAAATGTTGATCACCTGACCCCAGGACAGTGCAACTGTCATACTATAAATGCATGCCAAGCATTTGAATTTTGATCACATGACCATGCAACGGTCTTGAGAAAAATGGTCATGTCACTTTTTCAGTGCCATTGTAACTTCAAATGGTCACTAAAAGGAATGGTACCTGTATCAATCTAGATTAATAAACCTCAATCTTGGCAACTTTTAGCTGTATGGGCTTCAATTTTAAACTTTTGAATTGCATTGAAATCCACACAGCTTAAAGTTGCCAAGATTGAGAAACCCTAGTCTAGATGGATCAATTATATTTCAATTTAAGTATACCTAAAACTATTTTTATAAGCTTGGCATTTGGAAATTGATGACATGTAGCTCCCCTGCTTGTGGCCACTAGTGTATTTGCTGTCAGTGTAGATTAATATGCTTTAATATATTAAACTATAGTTTCATATTTTATGTTTTGTATACAATGTATTCAAATACCTTATACAGCATAAGACACAGAAATGTCTTAAAAACAAATAAAAAAAAATAAGAGACATTTTTCCATTCTTCCTATATTGCCTGACACAGTAAAAAATGATACTGTAAATTCCTTGGAAAAATAATCTAGATTTTTCTCTATATTATATTTAATGGCAAAAAATGTATGTACCACTAAATCCTGATGAAATACATTGGACAAGATCTAAATTCATCCTGAAAAAAGGTTAAGATTCTTTAAAAATATGTGGCATGTTTCTGAATGATACAACTAATTTACCACACAGTAAAAATGAACTAGTAAAAGAGTGGAAAAACAATTATTTTTGCTTTGTTCTGTATATAAGGACAAGTTGTTTTGCTGACAAGTGATGGGTCCCAGATGAATCTTCAGAGAAAATTGGAAGATTTTTTTTCCAGAAGTTACCAAAATTACTGATTTCACTAAAGCTATTTGCAAATATTGAAGTAATTTCAGAACGGTTAGAACATGCAACACTTAATGAGAAATCAACTTATTTTCAAAGAATAGGATGGCAGTAAAGAATAAAAATGAGTGCAATACGTATTCCAGGCTCACTTCAAGTATATGAAACTGTTAATTAATATAATTACCTTTTCTGCCTTCTCCAATTTTAATTTTCGAACCTCTTCTCCTTGGAGAGCAACCTGGTTAAAAAGAACTTGTGCTTCTGGAGAGCCAGGACTACTGGTTTCTGTGCTTTTGGGGTGGTTTAAGTCAGATGTCTGAGATGAAGGTGGCTGTCCTGGTTTATAGTCCTGGCCAGTCTTTTCTTTATATTCTGCCTTTAAGGAAAGGAGGAGTTTGACAGCTTCATCCACTTTATCCTATGGGAGTATTGTCAAGAAAAAGCAAATAAGTACAACCATCTCAAAAACTAGCTGCATACTTTTTCTTTTCTTTACTTTTCCGTTCTTTATTATCAAATAAACAATATGTTCTTGGGCATCTTAGTAACATACTGTACTATTTTATGCAAAAGATTTGTCGCATGGAAATGAAATGTATTTGTTGAAATACATTTGCTTTATGCAAATTAGTAAACTATGCAAAAAAAAAAAAAAAAACAGGACCCAAAAGACAGACGGAGCAGGGATGAGGTCTTCTTAACCTATCAACCATCTCCAGTGATGAGCACCCCCTCAGGGCCCCAAGCCAAAGGGCGAAACCAAGTATGACACTCTTCTGGAAGGTCAAAAGAGTAGGAACAGTTCTCAGCTGTGGTGGTGGAATATTCCACAGGGTCGAGGCCACAGCAGAAAAGACTCTTCTCCTTGATCCCGCCCCCCCCCACCCAAATTCCTTAGCAGGCAGGATCTGTAGCAGGCCTCTTCCGCTGGCATAAGTGGAGTGGGCTAGTTCCCTTGAGGTGAGAAAGCTCCTCAGATACCCTGGACCTATGCCATATAAGGCTTTAAAGGTAATAACCAATACCTTGAATTGGACCCAGAAGCAAAATGGTAACCAATGCAGCTCAAGAACAATTGTGTTATTATGTGTCACTGCACATATGTGCCATCTCAGAACTAGGCGTGTCATATCATTCTGCACCAGATATAGCTTCTTAATACTCTTCAAGGGTAGCCTCATATAGAATGCACTGCAGTAATCCAATCAAGAGATGACATGGGCATGAATAACTACGTAGGACCTCATGATCCAGATAAGGGCATAAATGACACAACAGGAAGTTGCACTAGGCCCTCTAACTACGACTGACACCTGCTCTTTGAGCAGGAGTTGTGAGTTGAGAATCCCCAGGTTGTGTCTGGGTTAGTGCAACCCACCCATTTTTCTTTAATTGTTCTTGTTATTATCAGTTTCTGCATGTCACTTTTCAAAACACAGATTTTTTCTCATGACAGTCTAACGTACACAAATTGGTGTCCATATATAAGAAAAAAACAGAAATTACTGGCTCTCAGATTCATTTAAATATTTAATACAAAGGTAAGTCAGAAAGCTAATGCTTTAGGATTAATGCCTACAATAAGTTCTTAAAGTGGAAGAGGTAAAGAAAATAGCTTTGCTCTCTCACAATGACTTTGAAAGAATAATTTTTAAGCAAACAGTGTCAAACATGTATAGGGTTAGGTTAAACGCTTATGAAATATAATTTCATGCTTTGCAATATTTGGGGGAATGGGAGCTTGGGAAAATATTACTGATAAAAAATAGAATACTTGATGGAGGAAGGATTTAGAGCAGTGTTTCTCAACCTTGACAATTTTAAGGCATGTGGACTTCAACTTCCAGAATTCCACAGCCAGCATTGCTGGCTGTGGAATTCTGGGAGTTGAAGTCCACATGCCTTAAAATTGTCAAGGTTGAGAAACACTGATTTAGAGCTATCCTTGAAAGGCAATAGGGTGGTGCAATAGATAAAGGGGTTAAGATGGTGGGCTTGTTCTCTGGAAAGTTGACAGCCCGGGTTCGAGACCCAAGTGTCACATGACAGGTTAAGCGCCCATTTTCACCTAGCTCCTGCCCACCTATCAGTTCAAAAGCATGCAAATGCAAGTAGATAAATACTCTTTGGTGGGGAGGAAACAGCACTCTGCGACATCATGCTAGCCACATGACCGTGAAAATGTCTTTGGACAGAGCTGGCTCACGGCCTTGAATCAGAGATGAGCATCACCCACTATAGTCGGCAACGACTAACAGTAGAATCCACAGGGATTCCTTTCTTTCCTTCCTTCCTTGAGAGGCAATACGGTATTCTCTCATAATACTGCATTGCAGTTCTCTGATTCTGGTTTTGGGATCGCAGATATTTCACAATAAAGTACAGTAATGAAGGATAGGATAGTGGAAAGCAGTGGTTCTCAACCTTTTTAATGCCGCGACCCCAACCGGTCGTAAGTCGAGGACTAAACCGGTCGTAAGTCGAGAACTAAACCGGTCGTAAGTTGAGGACTACCCAACCGGTCGTAAGTCGAGGACTTTCCCTGCCCGGGAGCGTCACGCATGCATGGTTCCGCCCCCTGCGCCGGCCGAGGCGTAGCTGGCAAGTGGCAGAGACGGAGCAGGCTGACCACCAGCTGGCCCAGTCCAAGGGAGGTAAGGCACCCGCCGGAAAAGGGGGGGAAAATGGCGGACAAAAAAAATGGCTGACAAGAAAAATGGCGGACAGCCTTGCTTGGCGACCCCCATGAAATGGTCGATCGACCCCAAATGGGGTCCCGACCCACAGGTTGAGAACCACTGGTGTAAAGGAATGTAGACCTTAGGGAACATCTGAGCAAGCCGTTGTGGGAAGAAGGAAGGAAAACCATTTGTGGGACTTGCTGAAGAGATTACAGTCCTGATTCTATTATTCTACCCTATACAATATAATTTACATAATTTACATGAGGCCTGAAATGAGAGAGAGATAGAGATAGATAGATAGAGAGAGAGAGAGAGAGAGAGAGAGAGAGAGAGAGAGAGAGAGAGAGAGAGAGAGAGAGAGAGAGAAAGAGAATGAGTGTGTGTGTGTGTGAGAGAGAGAATATTTATCATTATTCTACCTTGGAAACCTTTTCTGCTTTGAGTCTCCGCACTACCTCTCCTTGTTCAGCTACTTTATTATACAGAGCTTTTTCATCTATTTGGCCAGAAGATGTCAAACCATTCATAGTTAAAGAAGTAGGATCAGAAGCATAAGACAAGGAGGAAGGAGGAAGAGGAGCTGCAGGTGGATGTCCAGGCTTATAATCTTGACCTGTCTTTTGTTTATATTCTGCCTTTAGAGCAAGAAGCATTTTTACTGCAGCATCTATATGATCCTGAAGCAGGGAGAGAATATATCACATCAGTAAATGCAGAAATATTTTTAAAAGTTTTCTACAAGCAGAGTAGAATAAAAATGACATTAAACTCATTCAAAAGAAATGCAAAATGTATTTGTTGTTATGAGGAGCAGCCTGAATAGGAGTCTTAGGCCACGAGGCTCCCTTTTCTCCACTCTTTTTAAACTGGAAACTGTAATTATTTAAAAGAAAAAAAGAGAAACTATCAATCATTCTCTTGGAGAGGAGAATAGCACATGAACTTGTTTATCATGGACTGTTTCGTTTCCCTAAACTAGATAGGTAACAAATTTCCATGTGAATGTCAAATATTTTTATTTTATGAATTATGAAGCATATAAATGCTTCTTAAGTTAAAACTTTCTAAAACCAGTCTTTTTCTGCAATTGGCAGAAAATATTCTATTTAAACTTTAAATAGAAAAGCAATTAATAGCTTTTGTTCGTATCCTTTCTCCAAGCCAAGTGATTTTTTTAGATTTCTTTTTAGAATGGAAGGCTGGCAGATTTGGATATAATTCAAAAAGACCTTTTTTCTCTAAATAAGATTCAGTAAACAGAATTGTTGCTATGCCGAGAAGGCAGAAGGACATATGTTTTTGATAAACTAAAATGAAGTAAATGACCTAAAGTGAAGTAAAGCATTTTTGTTTTCCCTTAAAGTTCAAACTATTCTGTATTTTCTCAATGTGAACAAAATAATCATCTGTTTTGTATGCAATAACATGCAACTACATAACACTGTATCAAAAGAAGCTATACTAAAAGTAAAGCAAGGAATGCTTGCTATCATTTAACAATATATTTGTCAAAGATCTAAAAACCATTTGCATTAGCCTATTTTATTTCCACCGCTATTATACTTTTGTTCAAGTATCTCTATAAACCTCTTCATTTAGCTACTTTACAATCATGAGTTCTGCCCACAACTATCCACAAACAGAAGAATTGAACTAGGAAAGTTCAATCTTTGGTGAATTGTTAGTTTTTACTCCTGGCTGGGTTTTTTTTCTCCTTTTTTCTCTTTTTTGTTTTCAGAGCTGGGAACACTGTGACAGAAGTATCTATGTGAACTTAAAACCAGAAATAAAAGAACACACTTAAAAGGGATTAAGACAGAAAAGGGGAAAAGGGATACTGATCTAAAGATACACATGGCCAAATTTGAAACAAACAATGCAAAGTATTTAATTATTTTAAATTATTCACACAAATATAATGTTTAATAACAAAAAATATGGCTGCCCTCTCACAATTAAGAAGCAAAAAAAGTGATACGCTTCCAAAACCAAGTTAAATATTTGCTCTTTTGTTAAAAGAAGATAACAGCTGGAACTTGGGAGAATCCAGAGAACATTTTCTCTCAGGAAAACGTATGAAGAGATATGTATGAAGATTTCAAAGGTTATAATGGAGCACATGGGTTTAGACAGAATCACACAACAATAATTTAAGGCAGCCTAACTGATCTCTTTACTAACCTTGGCAGCTTTTTCTGCTTTAAGTTTTCGGACCACTTCTCCTTGCTCAGCTACATTATCATAAAGAATTTTGCCGTCCACATTGGTAATGGCGACCACCTCACATTTGGAAGATTGGATGGGATCTGCTGCAATTGGAGGGTTTCCCGGCTTGTAGTCTTGACCAATCTTCTCCTTGTATTCTGCTTTCAGAACCAAGAGTTGTTTCACAGCAGCATCAATGTCCTCCTTTGCTGCTTTCTTTTGTTTCAAATCACGGACTACATCACCCTGAGCAGTCACCCTCCTGTAAAGAGCTAAGGGATCCTGGGCTGAAGGGGAAACTGAAGTAGGAGAAACATCAGCCCCAAGTGAAGCAGAATGACCTTTCATTGTAGTAGCAACCTTTGAAAAGAAAACCAAATTATGCATTTACGAAAATGAGGAAAATAGCTAACTACAATATGCACCATTTGAGAGGCGGGACAGTATTGCCTGGTATCCAAATCCCATTCTTTTTTTTCTTTTCTTTTTTTTTTAATTGAAAAGTTTTTTAAATTTTTTTACAACATATGTCCCCCCTCCCACCCCCACTTCCCAGAGCTGATTACAGGGTACAAATAAACAATAACATAATCTAAATAACATTACCCAACTATACTAGCAACTAAATCCATAACATACTTTAACTCCCTTTCAAAATAAGTATTAACCAATTAACAGAAATAATAATATACCTAATTAACAACCAGCATAATAATATAATTAAACCATAAAATTCAAAATAATAATCAACCCTATTAAACTAATAATAATAATCTTATAATAATATAATTAAACCATAAAAATTCAAAATAGTATACAACCCTATTAAACTACTAATAATGATCTTAAATTCACTCATAAACTAAATAATACTTTTCAATCTCCTAGTTCATCTATATCTATAACATATCAAAATAATATTATAATTAAATCTTAATCAGAAGCTAAATGATACTTTTCAATCACATACTTCTTCTATCATAACATCTCAAAATAATATTATAATTAAATCATAAAACTAAAAATAATATTCAGCCATATTAAGCTAAATAATACTTTTCATATGTAATCAATCCATCTTCTCCAAACCAAAATATATTTTTCTTATAAATCCTTCACAAAAAGCGGAGATTTTTGCCATTTCTACTAGATTAAACACAACAATGCTCTTACATCTATTATAAAATTCAGCATCAAATTAATTTCTTTAATTAATCTTGTAATGTGTTATGAAGTTGATGTTAAATCCCATTCTTAAGTATGAACAGAATGATGTGAAAAATGTTGTCTCTATTCCTGATCCTAACAAGGCAACACTTCAAAGAGGGAGCAAAAATAAAAATAATTTCCGCAGCATCTATGAGTGGAAGAATGAGCAATTTTCTTGGAATAAATACTGCATACAGTCTTACATGACGAGCCAGACTGAAATAAAGAATAGAAGCAGGAAAATATTGATGATTTATCTGTTCATTCATTTAATCTATTTACATGGCTGCCCATCTCACAAACACAACTAATAAAATAAAGATGGATATAAGCAGGAAGAAAAGTTAAAAACAACCACAAGAATTATATTTTTACTGATTTAACAAACATTAAATTAAGTATTTGACAGGCAAATGATATTGAGTATAATCCTATCCCAACGTAGTACAGTACAAAACTTCTCATTAATTTTAGGAAAAATGGACTCAGTGAGTTATTTGATTTCTTATGGCCTTACACCAGCATGAAGAAAAAAAATACAAAATAATAAGTATCCACAATGCAGACAATACCAGCTGAAAATAAATTATTCAGCAATTTCAAAAGATACAGACAATAAAAGAACTGAGAATATAACTATATTGTCGTAATCACTGTTTGATGATTAATAGAAGTAATGGCTCCATACCTGATTATTTTCATAAAAATTGCTGGAATTTGGTCGCACAATAAATACATAAAACATATTCAATAGAACAGTAACAATTAGAGAAGAATTGATAAAACAGAACAGAAACCTCAGCAGAGGTTTATAAAATATATGAATTTAAATAAAACCAAAATGTGGAGTAATTGTTTTTTTAATTGTACCACCTTAATGACTCATGATCAATTTGTGACTGATTATAATCCTGAGATTTTTTTCAATCGTTATGCTCCCAGATCATATATTCTGCTTCCTATACAGGTGCATTTGTTATTCCAACCCTGACAAATGCATCTGTCCCTATTGAATATCAAATAGTTTATGATCACTTGTTATAAGCAACATTAATGCCCATCAATATTATTTTTGATGAACAATATATATCAACTGGATCTGCTTACCTCTTTCTTTGCTGTTTCTGACTTGGTTTTCTCCTTTGAGCCAGATGTTGGCATTTCTTTTGTATGCCCATCAGGAATATAAATCAAAATGCATGGAGCTTCTTTACAGCTATATGGACTAGAAACAAAGATTTTTAATTAATTAATAATAATAATAATTGAATAGACAAATGAATCAATATGAAAAATTACCACTTAAACTTTAAAAGTTTATAGAAATAAAAGTGTTTGTGAAATTATATTTGTAAGGAAGGTACAGAACAAGAAAGGCAGCAGAAAATTGACATGTAGGGTTGTGTGGATCTTGAGTTAAGCTTCAACAATGAATATCAAAATATTCTTATTATACCTCACCCATCTCCACAGCAGTAAATCCAGGAGAAAAATGTCTTTATTTGGTGAAAAACAGAGAGACGGACAGAAGTAGTAGAGGGAAGGCATTTTCTTACATTTCCATATAGTGTACTTCAAAATGATTTTTTGACAGCAATAACAAACCCATATTAAAGCCTCATGAACAGTCAATATTGCAATTCAAAATATAGTTTTTAAAGTAACAATCACTGCTTACTTATAAAGAAAAGTTTAAATTTGTAATTTGCATATTCCATAAAAGGGAAAAATGTCACTAAAAGTAATATAGGTTGCTTAGCTTTCAAATGTTGTTGTTGTTAAACTGTATTATCCCACTTTCCTTTGTTAAATACAATGTAATGGTCTTCTCTATAAGTAAATATAATGCAGAAATATAGACTTTTTATGGACAGCAGCAGATACATTAACTCTACTTCAACAATTTAGCCCTGAAAAAAAAATGGCCATTCCAAATTTCCAAATCTTATACAGTTAAAATCAAGCTGGTTTCTATGTACTCACCTAATAGGCTCATATGGTTGATCACAAATATAAAAACCTCTTCTCTGAAGCTGTATGATGTCTCCTTTTTTCAAATCTTTTAGGCAAGGATCACCTAACATCAGTTCTTCTTGCTATAAAAAGATTAAAAATAAGTTGTATAACTTCCTAAAGAACAAAATTCTGTACATGTTAAGAATTACTGTACTTGTGCCGAATTACTATAGTTAATGTGAAAGTTAACTTTTCAGATGGATATTGAAAATCCTCAATTCCCCATGAAGCAACTCATGAAGATCCTAATGAAAGACTAAGAAAAAGCAATCATAGAATTACATACATAATTATGGCTAGCCTGATCTTTCCCAATGTGTGACTCTTGCCAATAATTAATGATGGTAGAAGCTATAATCCCAAGGCTTAGGAGACATCATTTTATGGAAGATGGGCTAGAATGCTGAATTTTAATCAGGAAAGTAAAGGATAAAATCTCAATTCAGCCATAGAGTTTATTGGGTCAATTTGAATTTAAGTCAGGCCTAAGAATGAGTGAGATTTAAAGAGGGAGGAGGGCTCATGTATTCCACATGGTTTCTTGAAACTATCATTTTGTGGCACAAATGCAACAGTTGATAATAATAGTAAAGTTACTTTGCTATTTCTGTTAATGTACTGTTTGAAGTCTTCCTCCTTGCCTAAGACAGGCTTGGTAATCAAGTGTTCATAGTTCATACAGATTGTTGGAGTGAGAGAAGCAGAAGAGGCTTCTGCTAGCCAGGTGATTTTAGTAGTTTTTTTGTAATCCTTATTCTCCAAATTTAATTTAGCATCCATAGATGTGATTTTCCCAGTGAGGTTCCTACAAAGAAACAAAATATTTTGATTATCTGGGTGTTTTAAAACTAAATGATAAAACCTTGCCCAAGAAATCAATGGAAATTAACTTAAGTTTCCAAGAGTTAGTGAATCTTAAGAAATGGCAGTCAAATTTAATAACCCAAATCTATTATTTAAATTTAAGAGGATTCCTATATGAAGAGAAAGAGCTTGTGGTCACATAGGTCACTGCATCCCCTGTCATTTCAAGCCTCATCTCTCTCTTAATATAGTTCCCTGCTTCACCTACCACATGGTTTCCAAGAATTTCATATGCAGTGAAAAGGATAACAGGTTTAGAAGTGGATTATATACTGTAATGATTCTACCCACTACACATTTTAAATATTTAAGAAGAAGGAGAAATTCCAAATACAATATCGAAACATAAAATCCACTGTAAAACATACTTGTGTATTTTGGTGATGATTATGTTGCCCCAGTTAATGAATGTAACCGTTTCTCCTTCTGTCAATGTCTCTGCATCTGCTCCATCAATCAGTACTTTGGGACTATACCAGATAGGCTTCAAGCCAACTTCAGCATTCTGTATATTAACAGAAAAGGATAAAGAACTGGTTTGTGTTAGAAAAATCACAACACAATAAACTATTCTGGAAGAAAAGGCAAAAGTTGTATGTTTGTCATTGTGGTAAATTGTTTTTCTTGAACCAAGAGGAAACAATGTTTTGGATATCTAAATCTAGTCATTTTATGGTCCACAGGTCACATCTGGCCCACAGGTGGTCCATATACAACCTGTAGTATCAGTGGCATCAGGGAGCAGGGCATTGGAAGCAGAGCGGCAGCACCAGAGGACAGGGCATCGATGTTGTAGGACAAGGTAACAATGCATCAGCATCAGCATCGGGGGCAAGGTGGCAGTAGCAGGGGGTGAGGCAGCAGCTCTTCAAACAGTCCCAATTTCTCATGTGGCCCTTTGGGAATTGCCCACCCCTGATCTAAGATGTATCTTAAGGTACACTAGAGATATATAGCCCCCAAAGTAGGTGGAACTGGACAAAGATGTGAATGGATTCGAAACCAAAACCATCATTATGTGTAGTTTATAGGGCTTTTCTTTTCTTTTCATGGACTTTTCTCCAGAACTGAAAACTCTATATCTCATACTTTCGTAGCACTGCTCAAATCTCAGAGCTAAACAAGGTTATGCCTGGTTAGTACTTAAGATGGGAAGATATCCTGGAGATTCCAAGGCTATAGACTAGGAAAGAAGTTGAACAAGCAACCAGGAAAAAGGCAGTGGTCAGCCATTTCTAAAAAAAAAAACTGCTAAGAAAACTGCATGGATGCAGCAACCAGGATTTGAACTCAGGTTGAAGATATTTACATTTTTTAATCTTTTTGTTAACCCATCTGCTGGCCTACCAATTGCTCTTACAATATTCAAACTTGATAGTCTGATTTTGCTTTCTTTTCATTGGGTAGAAAGTCCTGTTGGTTCCAATGTTTCAATATTTTTATTACTGCATTCTTTAAACAAACCTTGGGATGTTTAGCCACTTCTTTCATCTCTTCTTGAGCTTCAGGAATATTTACGGTGACTATTTCATCCTTTAGCAATGCAGTGAACCGAGGTGCCACTGGGTCTATGACCTATATCCCAAGGATAATAATTAAGAAATTATAATTATTCAAATATTCACTTATGTTTCAAGCACAAATCTTTAAAACAAAGAGTTATATGAATGAAAAAGTACACATATAATACACACAAACCATCTAGGAATATTAACTGGTATTCTTTATGTTACTGCACTGTTGACTGCAATTAAAGCTTCTTGAATTTAAATTATAAAACAAAGCCAAAAACAAAATATGCTTATGTAATTTTCCTGTCCTTTGAGAAAAAAATGTTTTAAAATACTTTTTGGGAGAGAGTTTGTAAGTATATGTATTCCTAACTGAAATAAACTATAATTAGGCTAAACATGAGTGCTAACTATAAACTTTTTCTTTGGATCTGAGGCATTTTATCACTCAGTAGTTTTAAAAACAGGCTTATCTACATATATGCATTACATTATCATTAATATATAACCTTTTCTGACACTGAAAAATAGTCAGAATCAGAATATCTGTGGAATGCTCTTCAAACATGAAAAAAAAATGTATTAAAATGCCAAATGGCACACTGCAATTTAAAATACTTTTATTTGATATTTTTTCTTTTATATACAAAATTCCACAATTTTCTCCTTACCAAATCTCTGGCTTTAAAGCCATATATTTCTATAAATGTATTCCAAAAAGAGTGCATTCTAGCATGATTATTTAAATACAACAGCTTTAGAGCACTATAATAAGGCAACATTATGATAAAAACCCTTCGTTTAAAAATGGCCTCTATTTCTACTTCATTTCTAACTTACTCAATACTGAAGGTAGTATCTTCCACCAATATTGTTTCTGTTGTTAACACACTTCCAAATCATTTATTTTAAGCATTATCACCTTTCTTCAATGACTTACTATTTTATACAACTGGAGGTTTTAAGGAAGCATGAGAAACCTTTGGTCCTCCAGCAGTTCTCAGGATGTCAATTGCAATCCCCAGAATTATAATAGTTTAAACAATTGTTAAAAACTGCTACTTATAAGGATATATGTTCTTTGAGGAGAAAATCCCTCTATATTTCATGCTTAAGCTTATATAAAACAAGAGCACTCATGAATAATAAAGTCTATATTCTACTTTCTTGGAAATACATTCTTAGAAATGTCTATGGAGATTATCAGTCATCCAGGTCAGGGTTACCCCAAAGGTGCTTTTTTCAAGAGGCAACTGGACTTTCTTGTTTTTCTTTAAAGATGTTTCGCTTCTCATCCAAGAAGCCTCTTCAGCTCTGACTGGATGGTGGGGAATGAAAGGATTTATATTACTTGCAGACAGCTGGTCATTTGCATTCTTTTAGAGAGTCATTGAGGCCACTGGGAGCTTTATCTGTGTCCTGAGGGTCACTCCAAGGATACAACACCCAGAAACAAACTGAGCAACATGGTATATGCAGTACAATGCAGTGAGACATGTGCAGATTTGTACATTGTGGAAACAAAAAAAAACACTTCACAAACACATTGCACAACATAGGAAAAAAAAACCCATCAGGACAAGTTTCAGCAGTCCATCTGCATTTAAAAGACTAAGTCCACTCTTTTGAAGATAGCAAAGTCCACATTTTGGACAGAGAGGACCTCTGGTTTGAAAGAGGGCTGAAAGAGGCCATCTACGTAAAAATTGAACAGCCCTCTCAACAGAGGGAGAGGGATACGATATTATCTATTTCCTGTCTACAACACAGTCCTTTCAGAAATTCCAAGAAAGCTCCACACCCATTTGCACTACTCAGGTGACCCTAAGGAGACAGGTGACCCTGAGGAGACAGACCTCCAACAAGTGGCCTCAACAACTCTCTAAAAGAATGCAAATGACCACTTGTCTGCAAGGAATATAAATCCTTCCATCCCCCATCATCCAGTCAGAGCTGAAGAAGCTTCTTGGATGAGAAGCGAAATGTCTTCAAAGAAAACCAAAGAAGTCCAGTTGCCTCTTGAAAAAAACACCTTTAGGATATTCTTAGAAATAAGAGAAGTATCACTCTTGCCTTTGCTGCCTATCATAAATACAAGCAAATAGTTAATATAATAATCCTTACGTTACGAGGTTTCAGTGTCAGCTCTCTGGTTCTGGATGAGATTTACACACTAGCAACACTTATGTGATTAAAAGTATGTAATGATATAAATAGCTTATTTTATCTACAATTTTTGGAAAAACTCAAAATCTTTAATTAATCCATGTCTGACCAGCAGATATTCACTGCATCACAAAAGAAGGATTCTGCTCTGCTCTAATCATTAAATTTTGCCAATGCTTCTACTGATAAATTTTCCTTTCTTGAGAGCCAATAGTATCTTATAGGACATTTAATACTTTAGCTTCACTCTTGATCAATGTGACATCACTATATAGGTAAATGTACAGCTCTAACAAGTATGCAGTCCAACAGCTTCAGCTAAAAATTATGTTTTGTAAATGTATTACACAACTAATGCAGCAACAGAAAGAACCAATTGATAATCCCTCAAATAAATGAAGAGAAAAAAGTAAAAGAATTATAGGAGACTACAAGACACATGCCAGGCAAGCAAATACTGAAATCTGAGGAAAAACAAAACCTATTTGAAAACAAAGATCCAGATGCAAGTTAAAAAATAGGAGCAGCCATATAATTGTAGAGCAAGAGTTCGCCTTATTATAGTCTCCAAGCACTTGCTGCCAAAAAGTAACTAATCATGTGAAGATGCAGTATTCCTTCTTTAATCTTTCAACTGAAGAATAATGAAAGAACTTTACTGATTATCTTACAAAGGAAATATTATAGCCTTCTGTGTACTGCAGAAAGGCAACCTGGAAAATTTTAAACTCTCTTCTCTATTGAGAAATCATGTTTTTCTCTTTAGCATAGGAATAATGCATTTTTATGGAAATATATATATAGCTCTTGTTATGTAAGCAAATGTGACTGTGTATGAGTAACTGCATGATTGCTTATGCTATGTATGCTTACTGTAAGCTATATGCTAAGGCAGAAAAAGCATTAAGTAATACCTTCTTACAGATAGCTCGCAGCTTGATGGCAGAAAAATGAAATGCAGAATTTCATATCAGATTTACAAAATTAGCAAAACACCATTACCTTCCCAAACAGTTAAAAAACAATTCAATTGATTTTGCAAAAGCAAGTAATATTAATGTAAGCCTTGTTAGCAAGAAGGACATTCCATTTTCCTGAAAAAGAGGCAGATGAAGCAACAAATTGCATTCACTAGTCTTGAAAGGGCACTCAAAGAATTCTGGATTCACTATCCATACCAGAGCAGGTTTTCACTTGAAATGTCATCAAATTAAAATAAAGACAAATGTACCTTTTTGTTAAATGACCAAATTTTATCCCATTCCATATTTACAACTGATCTTGAAGATCCCTGTAGAATATAAAGGAAAAAATGCATTGTTTGTATAAGTAATAATTTGATACATGATTTGATACACGATGATAAATGGTGTAAATGGTGTAAAGCCAATCCTGTCTCTAATGCTAATTGGTCAGTATCTTGCTCATATGTATATTTAATTTAATTACATATTTTTAATCAGTCAATACAAGCAAAATCAGAAATCTCTATATCCATCAAGTAGCAAGAAGGAAGTAACTTGTAAATCAAAGTACTTTAACTTACATAATAATAATTGTAACCATTTCCCTGTGTTTATTTTTGTTTCTATGTGTATAAACTATAATTTTGTAACATGACAGAAATATCCTTTTTAACAGTATAGCAATATTAATTAGTTATTTTGAGAAAATAAATCAATTAGAGGAAATGTTTTCATAATTAATATTTTTCTATTGCAAGACAAACAGCTTATTTAATGTGTGCTTTATTAAACTTTCAATTCTTCAGAAACTATTCTAACTATATATACTGAAAACTAATTTTCAAACTGTGTGTCCCTCATATAGTACAAAAATATTTGCTTTATAAAATATTCTATTTCAAAATTATGTTTGCCAAAATAAAGGTGGGATATAAATGAATCATAAAAACAAATGAAATTATTTTTATAATTCTTAATGCTACTACAAATGTTAAGAAGCTGGGAAGGTAGCATGCTTCACAAAAGAAATGCAGAATCCTCTCTGATTTTCCCCTCTCCTTACTGCCTCACCCATTTTCCTCAAATCTTGTCCCAAGGGAAGCAGGTGATCTCTCAAAAGAAATTTGGGGAAGGTGCATAGTTTGCAGGAAATTCTGCAAGTCAAAGATGAGCAATGGATTCCACCATAATTTTACAAAGGCACTGTAGCAATCTCTTTCTACCTAATTTGAAAATAAAGACACTTACCTGTGCAGCTATAAACTGTTTCAATCCTTCTACTGTCATACCTCTTCTAAGGACACCACGCACAGTTGGAAATCTTGGGTCATCCCTTGAAGAAAGGGATCAATATTCAGTTTAATACTAAAGAAATGGGATGGCTAAAAAAATATGTTTATGAATTCAAAACACCAGCTAGTTCTCTAATCCACAACCTTATCTTAGACTGGATCAGTTCCAATTTCTAATATTGGCTAATTCTTAGCATCTGTTTAATTCATGGCCTTTTCCTTAGAAATAACAAAAATATCAAATAAACATAGAAAACTGATGGCAAAAAAAGACCTAGTATGGTCCATCAAGTCTGCCCTTTGAGTTTGTTTTTTTATTTTTTATTTATTATTTTTAATTATTTTTTACTTTTAAATTTTGGTTGGATGATGGACATGTGTTTATCCCAAGCATGTTTAAACTCAGTTACTAATGACTGACCCAATATCTCCTCTGGAAATTGGTTCCAAGCTTCCACTACTCTTTTTAGTGAAGTGATAGTGATAATTTAGTGATAATTTATAACATTATGTTTGAACTTTCCTCCTGTCAGTTTGAGATTATGCCCCTATGTTCTTGATTTTTGCTTAATATTGAAAATGGAATGGAATGGAATAGGATAGGATAGGATAGGATAGGATTTGGAAAGGTTGTCCAATTTCTTCTTAAAAACTTCAGTGTTGAAGCATTCACAACTTCTGGAGGCAAATTGTTCCACTAATTAATTGTTCTGTCAGGAAATTTCTTCTTTGTTCTAGGTTACTTCTCTCCTTGATTATTTTCCATCCATTGCTTCTTGTCCTGCCCTCAGGTGCTTTGGAGAATAGCTTGTCTCCCACTTCTTTGTGGCAAAAATGCTACTTCTAGAACCATATTCACACACTTAATCTATTTAAAAGTTCCAATCATGTCATCCCTTTCCCTTCTGTCCTCCAGGCTGTATATTTTGTCCCGCAGACCTCACACCATTTTTGTTGTCTTATCAATATCTTTTTCTTTAAATGAGATCTTAGAACTGTATTCCAAATGAGGTCTGACTAAAATCCTGTATTTATGGGTGTATATTTAACTGACTCTGAAAAGTCAAAAATTGTCAAAAGTCTTTCAGAGGGATGCAGCACTCTTGAAATTGCTAAGATATTGGGGTGTGATCACAGAACCAGGGTCGCAAGAAACGTGTTGAGAAAAAAAGACACACATTAACTGCCAAAGATTTGAGAAGAATCAAACATGAAGCTACGAGGAACCGAGTATCCTCCAATGCTGTCATATTCCAGAACTGCAACCTACCTGGAGTGCCCAGAAGTACAAGGTGTTCAGTGCTCAGAGACATGGCCAAGATAAGGAAGGCTGAAACCCGACCACCACTGAACAACACCCATAAGTTGAAATGGCAATACTAGACCAAGAAATATCTGAATACAGATTTTTCAAAGGTTTTATGGACTGATGAGATGAGAGTGACTCTTGATGGACCAGATGGATGGGCCTGTGGCTGGATCAGTAATGGGTACACAGCTCCACTTTGACTCAGATGTCAGCAAGGTGGAGGTAGGGCATTGGTATGGGCTGGTATTATTAAAGATGAGCTAGTTGAACCTTTTTGGGTTGGACTCAAAATCAACTCCCAACCTTACTGCCAGTTTTTAGAAGACACTTTCTCATGCAGTAGTACAGGAAAAAATCTGCATCTTTCAAGACCATGATTTTTATGCAGGACAATGCATGCATCGAAGTACTCCACTGTATGGCTAGCCAGTAAAGGCCTTAAAGATGAAAGAATAATGATATGGCCCCCTAAACCCTACTGAGAAGTGGGCCCTTCTTAAACAGGAGGAAAATAGTACACCTCTCTGAACAATATCTGGGAGGCTGTGGTTGCTGCTACACAAAACGCTGATTGTCTACAGATCAAGAAACTGACAGACTCCATGAATAGAAGGCTTATGACTGTTATTGAAAAGAAGGGTGGCTATATTGGTCACTGATTTTTTTTCCTGAAATGTCAGAAATATTTGTACATTTTGAGTTGTTTCTTTATTATTCTCACTTTAACAGATGCAAATAAACAAATGAGATGGGCAAATTTTTGATTTTCCATTTAGTTGCATGATAATTCTGTACACTAATAGTTGCCCAATAATTGTACACAACATATTCTCCTAAGAAAGTCAAAACCTCACTTTTACTTTCTTAAATGTTCAGGTTTGAGGTTTATTAGCATTTTGGATTGACCGAGAGCACTGTAGTTGTTCAATAAGAAAATTAAACCTCCAAAATACAATTTGCCTAATAATTGCCCACAGTGTAGTGATGCATCCTAGAATTTTGTTTGACTCCACAGCTGCCTGGGCACACTGCTTGCTCATTTTGCAGTTATCTAAGAGCAACCTAAATCTTTTTCTTCTGTTGTTCTATCTAACACTGTATTCCCAATACTAAACCCCCAATACTGTACCCTGCCAGATGCATTTTATCAGGCAAGTTACTGCACGTTAGCACAAGTTACCCCCAAGAGCGTTAGGGAATAAACAGAGCCACATTAGTGGCTGTAGAATTTTTATGGACTTTATATACACTCACACACTACTCCCAGACACTGAAAATCATCCTTTCCCCTTGAACAAATTCTTTTACATCCTTTCATATTGACCAAATTAATATCGTACAATATTTTTGAGTGCTTAAGGAACCACAAAGGAAAGAGGAACAGAAGCAGAGAGGCACCTGAAGGCCTCATGAAGTCTATGAATTAGTAATAACAACATTAAAAAACATAAAAGCCAATATTTTTGAGTACTTATAAAAGTACCAAGTCTAAAAGTAATTTATTTCTTCTGTTAACAGCAAACACATAAATGCGATAACGCGTAAGGATCATATTTAATTTAAAAATTTTATATAATTGGAGGTTTTATTTATTAATAACATGCAAAGTTACAGTATGAATGCAAGAGTGAAATAATCTGGTTCACATTTTAGAAGCATCCATACAGACACCACCAAGCTAAGCAACTTTACTTACCAGCCATCTACCAGTCCTTCATTGACAAACCAAGTGAGCTTTCTTTTAGAAAGCAAAGTATTGTTGAGGTTTAAACGGCTGTACTCCCAGATGTAGGGCTTTCTTATTCCCAAGGCTTCAATGATCCAGTAGAATTGCTCATCTCTGTCATGGTATTCTGTTGTTCTTAATGCATGAGTAACACCTTCTACACTGTCCACTATGGGGCAGGCAAAGTCGTATGTGGGGTAAATACTGAAAGTTAAGTAGAGACAGATTTAACCTTCATGCACACTTGACAGATGTCACATCTTACCATTAATAAATATCAAAAGCAATCACTGAAGCAACAGTATTTATCAGTCTGCTGGTGCACGTTAAAAACAAGAAGAAGAAGGTTTAAAGCAATTGAAAACTTTATACTGTATTTGAATAGACTGATAGTAAGAATCAGTTATTCCTAAAATGTTAAGGAGTTTTGGGAGAATCTATTATGAAATCTGGGTAATATGTTATTTCTCATAATAAAGTATATTCCAAAAAGGAAGGAAATAGATAGGTTTTTGATTCATATATAGTACAGGAACTCATACTTAAATATTAGTTAATACAGCAAAATTTGGTTTGAGAGAATATTCCAGAAAATAAATAAATATCAGCAAATAACATTT